CTTCAAGGAACTTGATCCTGGATATTAGGAAACTCAACAACAACAACAAAAGCAATCCAGTTAAGAAATGTGCTAAGGATATAAACAGGCAATTTTCTTTCTTTCTTTCTTTTTTTTTTTTTTAAGAATTCTTTATTCGAGAGGCAGAGTTACAGAGAGAGGGAAAGACAGAGAGATAGTTCTTCCATCCACTAGTTCACTCCCCAGATTGTCTCAGTGGTTGCAGTTTAGTGGATCTGAAGCCAGGATCTTCCACGCATTGGGGCCAACTTCTACTGCTTTCCCAGGCCACAAGTATAGAGCTGATTTGGAAGTGGAGCAGCCAGGATATGAACTGGTCCCATATGGCATGCTGGCACTTCAGGTGGAGGCTTAGCCTACTATGCTACAATGCAGGCACCAAATAGGCATTTTTTCAAAGGATGAAATAAAAATGGCCATGGGGCTTGCGCAGTGGCACAGTAGGTCAATCCTCTGCCTGCGACGCCAGCATCCCATAAGGGTACCGGATTCTATTCTCATTTGCCCCTCTTCCATTCCAGCTCTCTGCTGTGGCCTGGAAGAGCAGTGGAGAATGGCGCAAGTGCTTGGACCCCTGCACCCACTTGGGAGACCAGGAAGAAGCTCCTGGCTCCTGGCTTCAGATCATGTTAGCTCTGGCTGTAGTGGCCATTTGGGGAGTGAACCAATGGAAGGAAGACCTTTCTCTCTCTCTCTCTCTCTCTCTCTCACTCTCTCTCTCTCTCTCTGTAACTCTAACTATCAGTACATGAGTCCGTCAGCAAGATGGAGAGGGTACAAAGGAAAGAATCAGGGAATGATAAAACGGTAGAAGGGGCCAGCACATATGGGCACTCGTTCAAGTGCCGGCTGAAGTAAAATCTGGAGTCTCACAATCAATCAATCAATCAATCAATAAAAATAAATAAATAAATAATAAATATATAAATAAATAAATAATAAATAAATAATAAATAATAAATAAATAAATAAAAATCTTTAAAAAATGGCCAAAGATATATGAAAAGATTCTCAGGATCATTAGCCATCAGGGAAATGCAAAGAAAAACCACAATGAGGTTCCAGCTCATACCAGTTAGAATAGTTTCATCTAAAATCAGAAAATAACAAATGCTGGTAAGGACGTGAGGAAAAAGTTATTCTAATATACTGTTGAAGGGGGCTACAGTTGGATATGTCATAAATGCTTTTAAAACTGTATATATGAGGGCCTGCACTGTGGTGCAGTGGGTTAAAGCCAGAACCTGCAGTGCAGGCATACCATATGGTGCCAGTTCAAATCCTGGCTGTTCCACTTCCAATCCAACTCCCTGCTACTGTGCCAGGGAAAACAATGTAGGATAGCCCAAGTCCTTGGGCCCCTGCACCCAGGTGGGAGACCCGGAAGAAGCTCCTGGCTCCTGGCTTTCACCTGGCACAGCCCAGTCTTTTCAGGCCGTCTGGGGAGTGAACCAGCAGATGGAAGATTTCTGTCTCTGTCTCTCCTTCTCTCTCCCTGTGACTCAACCTTCCAAATAAATAAAAACATCTTTACAAAAGGTTTTATGTATTAAGTATATGAAATGTGCTCCCTTTAGACAAATTTTAAAAGTAAGATAAAAAGAAGCCAAATCAACCTCAAACAGGGAAAACTAGTGGAAACCTACTCCAAGACACAGTCAAGCATACAGAAAAAATCTTGGAAGCAGAAAGAGGGAAAACTGAATGAAGAGGATTTTGCATGTCACTGGAAGCATAGAAACAATAAGGAAATGGCATAACTCAAGTGTTGAAAGAGAACACTACCAACCCAAGACTTTGTATTTAGCCAAAGCATTCTGCAGGAATAAAGGGGAAGTTACAATATTCTCAGAAAATGGAAAGAATTTGCTGCCAGCATCACAACCCTGAAATAATGGCTCAAGAAGTTTCTCTAAACAGAAAACAAATAATAAAAGGAAAAAATATAGAATGAGGAAGAGAGAAATACAAGAAACAAAAATAAAGAGAAATACAGGGGCTAGCACTGTGGCTTAGTGGGGAAAGCTGCCGCCTGCAGTGCCAGCATCCCATACAGGCACCAGTTCAAGTCTCAGCTACTCCACTTCCAATCCATCTCTCTGCTAATGGCCTGGGAAAGCAGTAGGGAATGGACTGAGTCCTTGGGCCCCTGCATCTGAGTGGGAGACCCGGAAAAAGTTCCTGGCTCCTAGCTTCGTATTGGCACAGCTCCAGCCATTGCAGCCAATTGGGGAGTGAACCGCAGATGGAAGACCTCTCTCTCTCTCTCTCTCTGCCTCTCCTTCTCTCTTTGTGTAACTCTGACTTTCAAATAAATAAACCTTAAAAAAAGAGAAATGCAACAGGCTTTGATTCTTCTCCTGAGTTTCCTAATTATATTTGACAGTTGCAATGCTTTAATATAATATATAAAAATATATAATATAATATATAATGTAATATAATATTATTCTAAACTTATGTAATAAAAACCTTTAAGACAGAGACCAGCATAATGGCCCAGAGCATTAACCAGCATCCATAAACGACAGCTGATTCAAATCCCAGCTGCTCTGTTACCAATTCAGCTTCCTGATAATGAGCTTGAGAATGAACAGACGATGTCTCAAGTACTTGGTTCCCTGTCACCCATGTGAGAAACAGGATGGATTTCCATTTCCTAGCTTCATCCTGGCCCAGTGCATGGAAGATTCTCTCTCTCTTCCTCTCTCTCTCTCTCTCTCTCTCTCTCTCTCTCTCTCTCTCTCTGCCTATCCCTCTCTGTGCAAATCTGACTTTCAAATAAATAAATAATTTTTTTAAAAAATAGATAAAATAGAAACAATCAAAATGTTATATTTATGTCATGAGTACCACTGAGCAATCAGGAAGGAGCTATTAATATATATAACAACATCACCTCAAAGAAATGTTACATATTTGAGGTGTTGGTTATCCTAACTATTCAAATGTTATTATTGCATAATACATGTATGTATCAAAACATAATATTACATTCCATAGAATTGTACAATTATTTTTGTGTCAGTTAAAGCTTCTAGAATTTTTATGCTGAGTGAACCAAGGAAAATCACAAATCAGTGCCCTGCATGTGTATAATCGAGTAGAAACTGCAGAAGACTCTACAGTGACACAAAGCTAATAAGTAGTCTCCTGGTGCTAGGACAGAAATGAGGAGGGGTGAAACAGGAAATTACATGGGAGGATAGAGGAACTTTGAAGGATAATGTGTTCACTTTCTTGATTGTGATGATGATTCCACGGGCACACATGTATGTTAAAAATCATCAGCATTTTGCATTACATATGTGCAGTTTATGTTACTCTTACCTCAATTAATGAAGCAAACCTGATACATTATTCAACTTATATAACCGAAACAAAAGTATTCAGATAAACATATATTTAGTGGAACAATAGTGTAAAACCTAAGAGAAAGAAGGAAAGTAAAAGATAAGGGGGCGGCGCTGTGGCTCACTTGGTTAATCCTCCACCTTGTGGGGCCGGCATGCCATATGGGCACCGGGTTCTATTCTTACTTGCTCCTCTTCCAGTCCAGCTCTCTACTGTGTCCCGGGAGGGCAGTGGAGGATGGCCCAAGTGTTTGGGCCCTGCCCCGGCATGGGAGACCAGGAAGAAGCACCTGGCTCCTGGCTTTGGATCGGCGAAGCTCCAGCCATGATGGCCATTTGGGGGGTGAACCAACGGAAGGAAGACCTTTCTCTCTGTCTCTCTCACTATCTAACTCTGTCAAATAAATAATAAATAAAATTAAAAAAAGATAAAATCCATGAAATGAGGTCTACAGTTAAGAAGCTTTAAAAACTTTTGAGAAAAGCATGAATGCAAACAATCATATTTGATTTAGGTTTCATATAATTATTCAGCCATGTTGAATGTATTTCCATCTTCTTCTTAACTTGAACACAAAGTATATGATCATCTGCATGTATGAGAAATTCTTAGACTCCATTTTACAGATGAGATGTCTTGCAGTAACCAAAGTATGGCTTGTTCATATTGTGCATATGAATAGCTGAAACCAGACTAGAGCCTCAGTCTTAAAACAGCATGTTCTTCGACTGCACTCTATCACTTCTAGGCCAAAGGCACCTAGATATAATTTAAAATAATTTGATTGTTTAAAGGTTTATGTATTTACTTGAAAGGCAGAGTTGCAGAGAGAAAGAGAGGAAGAGAGAGAGGGAGAAATGGGGGAAAGAATGAGAGAGACAGAGCGATATCTTCCACCCACTGGTTCACTCCCCAGATGGCACAACAGCCAGAGTTGGGCCAGTCCAAAGCCAGGAAACAGGAGCCTCCTCTGCATCTCACACATAGGGGCAGGAGCCCAAGGACTTAGGCCATCTTCTGCTTCTTTTCCAGGTGCATCAGCAGGGAGCTGGATTGGAAGTGAAACAGCACCAGAACTCAGAACAGCACCCATATGGAATGCTGACACTGAGGGCCGCCGAATGGAGTCTTTACCCACTACACAACATCATCAGCCCTGATTTAAATTTTAAATGAGGGTTAAAGAAGTGAATCCTTTCTACTTCTTTGCAAAAACGTATTCTAAAACTCTTAGGACATAATAAGATGCTGAAAGTATTCTCAGAAGAAGCCTGTGATCAGTTTTTATATCAATAATTATTTATATGACTCTAAAACATGAAGTCGCTTGATCAAGACATACTGTTTTTTACTGGATTGCTTGTATTTATTGACAAACAACATTGTACATATTTATGGGGTACAATGTAATATTTCAATACATGCATACATTCTAATGATCATATTAGGGTAATTGGCTTCCATTGCTTCACACATTCAAGATTTCTTTGCAGTGTGAACATTCAAGTCTTTTGTCTATCTATTTAAAAAATACAGTATGTTGTTGTTAACTAGTGCTACCCTACTGTGCAATAGGACACCAAAAGGATTATTTTTAATAATCTTTAAAAAACACAACCTCTAATTTAGGAGAGCACCCTTTCCAAAGTCTTACTCAGTGCAACATGAACATCTTTGTTCCTCAAACTATAAATAAAAGGATTCATCATTGGCCCCACGATGGTATAGAAAACTGTGGATACTTTTTCTTGTTCCAAAGTCCCAGGAGGAGAAGGTTTAAGGTACATGAATGCTGATGCTCCAAAAAAAAGAGAAACAGCAATTATGTGGGAGCTGCAGGTACTGAAGGCTTTGGACCTGCCCTCTGTAGACTTGATGCGAAGGATATTGGAGAGGATCAGGGTGTAAGAAATGAAGATGATGAAGCTGGGCCCTATCACATTGATGCCCACCACAATGAAAACCACCAGCTCATTGACGTAGGTGCTAGTGCAGGAGAGCTGGAGGAGAGGGGGAATGTCACACATGTAATGGTTGATGATGTTGCCATCACAGAAGGTGAGTCTCAGCATGCATGCAGTGTGGGCCACGGCACCCACAAACCCCATTGCATACACACCCATCATCAACATGAGGCAGACCTGATGGGACATGGTGGCCTGGTACAGCAGGGGCTTGCAGATGGCCACATATCTGTCATAGGCCATCGATGTCAAGATATAGCACTCATCAATAACGAAGAAGGCAAAGAAAAAGAGCTGAGCCATGCACTCAGCATAGGAGATGATGTTCTGTTTCACAAAACTCACCAGCATTCTGGGCATTATGACACAGGAGTAGCAGAGATCAATGAAGGACAGGTTGCAGAGGAAGTAGTACATGGGAGTGTGCAGGTGAGGGTTCAGACCAATCAGAGAAATCAAGCCCAGGTTTCCCACCACAGTGACCACATAGATCCCCAGGAAGAGGAAGAAGAGAGGCAGCTGCAGTTCTGGCTGTTGAGTTAATCCCAGCAGGATAAACTCAGCCACTGAGGAGTCATTTCCTGAGGCCATTCTTCCTTAGGGCATCTGTGAGAATGGGAGAAATACAAACATTACAACAGATCCACTCTCTCAACTACAAGGATTTAAACTCAGAATGAGGGAATGAACTCACCTGTCCTGCTGAGTAACTTCATTTCTTCCCTTTTATAAAACTGAGAGAATGGGTGGAGGTGAATAACAAAACCCAGAAAGCAACTTTCTGCTGGAAGGAGATCCAGAAGCACTATGACCACTCCTCACTGGACACCAGCTCTGCTGCACGACTCTCTGGAGAGCCCACGGGGCCCACTCTGGGCCAGTGGTGACGTCGGTAGAGAGATGAGACCTTTGAAGGACCGCTTGCCTCCCAAAGATGAGACTTCAAAGGAGTTAGCAGGACACATACAATCGAAACTTCTGCATTTGGAGTCAGGAAAGGACCTTCTCCCCTATTCTCACAGAGGGAAACGTGGCTCTGATGAGTTGTACAAGTGAATAGCCCAGAGAGGAGTCTTTTCTGGTGTTGGTGTTGTTACTTCTCTTTGGGACAACACTGGGATGGAGGGAGCTGGAACACAGCCCACAGTCCCCCAGAATCTGTGGATCATGATTCCTGACAGTGGCTCTGCACACAACGTCCTCGCTAGCCTAAGAGAGCGGCATACATAAGTTGGCAATGCCGAAAGAGTCACCCGCTAATATGCCTCTAGGGTGTTTATGCGTTTGGAAAATCCCAGGGACCTGATTAGAAGGGGAAGACTATGTTCCTCCAATGTCTCCCCAGAGATCAGGTTTTGCAACCAAAAGAAATTACCTACCTGCAGTTACAGCCTAGTTCATAATTGCGTTGAATTACTGGAACTCTTTGGTTTCCATCTGAATGGGACACATGCCCAAATAAAAAAGCAGGATGACTTTTCCTGTATCCAGTTCACTGATGTCTACATGAAATACTATACCATTTGTTGGTGCTTCTTACCACGATACATGCACCCATTGGAATACATTTGAATCTAAGCTCTAAAATGGGAAAGATCTTGACTATTTTCTTCAGTGATATTTTTACAGGACCTAGAAGGGAAAATACCTAACATAGAGACAGATGGATAGACACATAGATGTACAAATATATAATAGATGATCAATAACTATTTGAATAACCAAAGAAAGAATAACTGAGACTTCTTTCTCTCTGTTTCCTAAAATGTATATTGGATACCACATGGAATTCTTGCCACACGGGCAAAGGCTTATATCGTGTAAAGACTGTTGTTTGTGGATCTGAGTATGGGGGGGGGGATGGAAAACATCAACAAGATGTGTGCAGGCCACTGTTGACCTCTCAGAGGCCATCTTCATGCTTGCTGGGTCAGAGTGACTGCAGTCCAAGAAAGAACATAATCTCTCTCCTCCTGAGCACCACAGTGAGGACTTGAACAGGCGCTGGGAGAGGTCTCAGTGCTTCCCCACAGAGCTGTGGCGTGAACGCAGATCAGAGTCAGATTTGGGTCAGTAATGGAATCTTTCACGTGCCAAAATCAAGCATCTGCTCACTAAGAATGGCCATTTATAAGATTCTTCTGCGCAGAATTAAAATAGTCAAGATAATATTAATATTAGCATTTTATAATTTCAAGGCCATAAATCTTTTTTCTTTATTTTTTAATTTTCTAAGATGAGCAAATTTCACATATTTCATAAACACAGGTTTAGGAGCACAGTGATACTTCCCACTCTATCCTCCCTCCTGTCCATGCTCCCACCACCCCTCCTCTTCCTTTTCTTTTTCTTTCTTTTAATTTTTACCATGATCTACTTTCAGCTTATTTTATACTCATAAGATAAGCCCTAGACAAAGTAAAGTGTTCAACAAATAGACAGAAGAAAAAACACTGTTCCTCACCAGTAAAGACAAGGGCTGCAAACAATCATCAAATCTCAAAATGTCAATTTCACTCCTGTACATTACATTTTTTTGGTACTCTACTGGTTGCCACAGATCACGGAGAACATATGGTATTTGTCTTTCTAGGACTGTACAGCCAGAAATCTTAATCCTCAGTGCAGAGGAATGAATGTTCCCCTTGGTCACTTCATACATTATCTCCAAGAATCAATGCACAGTTCTACAGAAGGAAGGTCTGGAACAATCATTTGCCATTTCTACTATTTTCCTACTTGCCTCTGAGATGTGTCAGGAAAATCATAAATTTTAGCTTTAACAATGTACATGCCTGTAAATTCACCTCCGTAAAGGATATTATAGTGATGCGGTTAAGAGAATGTGCCCTCAAGTCAGACTGTCAGAATTTAAAGCTAGAGTTTCTCCACTTCCTAACTATGGTATTCTAGACAGATTGTAACTTATTTTCCCCTTGTAAGATAAGACATGTAGTTGTGACAGTTTATTTCCTACATGTAAGGTATTAGAACACTGCCTGGAATTTAGGAAGTCTGAGAAGTGTGTGTTCTCTTCCTCCTTCTCATTTACTCTGTATAGCCTACACCTCTCTCTGTGTGCCTCCTGCACACTTCTATTTTATGTCTACTTATGTGCCTCAAGAAAAAGTGTGCCAAATTGCATTCAACATTCTCTTATGATTCCTTCCTAGCACTGATTTTTCCCTGGTCTTAATTGCCTAAGTTATTTTAACCACTCCAAGCAACTAATCATTCAATCTCCAAGTCTCAGAGAAGTTATCACTCTGAAATCCTGGTAGAGCCTTTCTTCTCAGTTACATTGACTAGATAAAACTCTCTTCATCTAATGTTTAGGTTACTCTAGTAACTATGTAAAAAAGACTACTGTGAATATTAAGAATTTTTCTTTTCAGTGTAACTATACATACACAGACACACACTGCTTCACCTTAAAATCTGATTATAATAGTAATTGAGTTGGATAGAGAGCCAGTACTTACATTAAGATAATTTCAAATGTGATTTACAGATAGTACATTATATACTATGATGGCTTTAATTTTATTTCCTATTCACTTACCCCAAAATGATTATTTTCATGTATTCTCAGTTGCTTAACAGTCTCCAATTCCCTGACTCATGCTCAAACTCATCCCTTTTTATATAGAGGCCTTTGCTCAATATATGTAGCTATAGCTATATAATGTTAGCTGCAAATCTCTAAATTTCATCTTCTTAAAGAAAAATTTCCATGAAAATTGCCATCCCCTCCATTGTTGACATCTCCTCCATTGTTGACAGGATGCCCTTTGCTTTTGTTAAAGCCTAACATCTTGAGATTGCTCTTCATCATATTTCTTGAAGATCTCACCAAGTCTTACTTGTGGTAAGGATCTTGTCTCCTGGTGCCTATGTCTTCTTGTTACTTGGTTCCCTTCCTCATTTTTAAAACAAACTTTATTTTTTAGAGTTTTATATGTATAGAATAATTGACAACATAATACAGAAATTTGCCTTCTTTGGGGTTGGGCATTTAGCACAGCAGTTAAGACCCTGTGTTGGATGCCCATATCCCATATCAGAATGCCTGGGTTTGAATACTAACTCTGTTTCTTGATTTTTATTGTATTTAAGTTATACAAATTTCACGTATTTCATATATACAGATATAAGTACATTGTGATACTTCCTATCCTACCCTCCTTCCCTCCCACTCCAGTTTCCTGCTGATATGCACAGTGGGAGACAGCAGGTGATGACTCAAGTACTTGGCCCTGCACCCATGTGAGAGACTTGGACTGAAATCTTTACTGCTAGCCTCAGCCTATTCCAAACCTGGATATTTGGGGCGTTTGTAGACTGAACCTGCAGATGGAAGATCGCTCTCTCTCTCTCTCTCTCTCTCTCCCTCTCCCTCTTCCTCTCCCTCTCCCACCATGCAGCATGCTAACTGCTGCATCAAACACACACACCCTACTTTAACATGTTTTGCTATCACAGCTCTTTGGAATCCTTAAGGTTGTGAGAGTTTTCTTCTTCACTCTAATGGAGTCAACACCATATCAGTTTCCTGTGAAAGGATACATGAAAGGCAAATTTTACAAAAATTATACACCTAAAATTGTTTCTAATTTTATTAACAGGTAGGGTGTAGAATTCTTGTTTAAATGTTCCTTTTTGTCAGAATTTTTAAAGCATTGATCCAATGTCTATCACAAAACTAGACAACATTTCTCACAAAACACTTTATTTGTGTTGCACTAAATCTATAAATCAATTTTAGAGAAATGCGTATGTTCACAACAGTGGTTTTTCAAATCCATGAATATGGTACATCACTCACTTATTTATCTTCTTTTTTACTCACAACATGCTAGAAATATCTCAGAATGTGGCCAGCATAATTACCTTAGAAATTTAGCCAGAGGACTTCCTGTTAGAGATGACAGGTTGTACCCACAAAGTGAACCCCTTTTGCTTTCTAAAGGCCACAAAGATGAAAAGAAAATCACAAAAAGTCTGGAACACAAGTAAGAAATCAATCCACTGTGACAACATGTAGGTGGATGCAAGGAAAACTGGAATAAATTTGGAAATCTGGACAGTAGAGGAATGATCAGATACTGAGTTACAAACTTTCAGAAATCTTAATTCTAAGTTACATAATGAAAGCAAATGCCTACATTCTACCACCTCATCTATTATATGTCAGCAATTTGGTTGCAAAGCTTCCCTCTGAAAGTAGGAGTGCTACTTGCAAGTCTGTTAAAGTAGTCATATTTATAGATTTCTCTCCTTCACTCTGTGTATCCTGAACCCCAGAAGACTGGAAGTTTATTCCATAGGATATGTGGAATGGCAGATCTCTGGAATGGATGGCATTTAAGCATTGAGTTATTATGTTAAAAATGACAGAAATAATTGGAGGCTCACATAAGCAGAATAACTTAAATATTAGTATAAAATAAGACAGTTTGAGACACACAAGATGTGGTCAAAACAGGTTAGCTATACAACAAACTAATTTTACCTTCTTCCTGGTCATAAAACTAGATGACATTTCTCCTAACACCTTTTGGTTAAGTATAGTCATGTAACTGACTTCTAGCCAACAGAGTATAAGCAAAAGTTAAAAGTCTAAACCCACAAAACTTTCATCATTTCACCCAATATTCCCTCTTTGACTAGCTTAATTAAGGACAGCATGTGTCCAAGATGATATTTCTACAAGGAGAGATCTGAAGCTCATTACTTTTAGGAAGTTGCTCGTCATTTAGAAAAACATTAAAATAAGAAGACAATCCAAGTATGATTTCAAGAGGCACATGGTTTATTTCCAAAGATGGTTTTCTTTTTGTTCATCATGCTTACAGGAGGAAGAGTCACAGGAATAAATTGTAGAAATAGTATATTCATTAGTCAAGGTTCATTAACCACACAGCATGTTCAGATGTAAAGAACAATTATCAAAGTGTAGTTGCTCATTTAGCATGAAGGAACCTCTGAGGAAAGGAAAGTGCAATTAAAGTTTCAGGTGCACCTTTGTAGGAGTAGTTCTCAGAGAGTGGCTTGACCAACATGATGGACACCTGTAGCTACACAAAAGGTCCCTGGATGCTAGAGGGTGATGCTGGTGTTGGTAAGGGAAGTGGTGCAGATCAGCACCGAGCTAAAAGGTCATAGCCTGAACTCTCAAAGTGTCCATCAAACTCGGGTTTACACAGACAATCCCAAACTTATGATGATGGAACAGAATTTTTCAACTTTATGATGGTTCTAAAATGATACACATGCAATAGAAGTCGTACTTTAAATTTTGAATCTCAATCTTTTCCTTGGATAGTTATATGTAGTATGATAATCCTTTTCAGTGATGGCTAATAGCAGCAAACCATAGCTCACAGTTATGCCATTACCAGAAGAACCAACTCACACTGCACAGTACACTGTATTGCTAAGCTACACATGTTTGGTAGGGGGTGTCTTCAATGCATTTTCAATTTGCAGTATTTTAAACTTAAGATGGTTTTATTGAGACACAATCTATCATAAGTTGAGGAGCATACATTTGTGTGTGTGAATATCAGACTATGATTATTTTATTTACATCTCTGTGTAATCAAGTAGAATTTGACCACCTGTTGTTGCTTCTTTCTTTCTCATACAGATGGTTCTACTGGAATCTGGCAGAATATATACTCATGAAATAAAAGCTTAAATATATTAAGTTTGCTGTAATGCCAATTAAGTGTGTGTGTTTAATAAAAATTTCAACTTTTTTTATAAAACCAGCTTAAAAATCCATCGCTATAAATTTTTGAGATAAAAGAAGAGCCTGGCTTGATATAATAGAAACATCATTCTTCCTATCACAACACATGTGCATTTCAAATTGACTGATGTTTCTGAGTAGCTAGCACTCCCACTTGCAAAATAACTTGCTCATCCAAAAGAACTTGGCTCTCCTTTGAATTAAAGTTTTCCTTTACAATAAAGAAAGAATTGTTTAATTTGGTTACAATGAATTAGGAAATCATGAAATTTCACTTTCAGAAACTAAAATGAAACAGAGATATGTTATATTACTTATTATATAAAAAACTAAAAACTTATTTCCAAAATTCAGTCTAAAGCTTATGTCAGAAGATAAGATAATCAACTAAATAAGTTATATAGCTGTTCATGCAAAAAAACAAAAATGAGTGTTAGTAGGTAGAATTTTGTTGTCCTTAGATGTCATCTCCCATTAGATTGGGAGCCCTTATGCTTGGATTGACAGATGGTGAACTGATGGTATTTCAGTTTCTTCTCTAGAACTGATAGTTGCATTGCCCTCAATCTTACACTACTAGAAAGTTAGGTATCAGATATCATTCCATGAAAACCACCATTCATGATTTGTATCCGCAGATATAGGGAGAAATTGGTATGATATTACACATAAGGTTTTGCAGTCTGTTGCTTACCTCTCTCTGTCAGGAGCAGTTCCTCCTGTCGGTAAGCATTCCCTTCATAAATGCACTCACTGTTTTGGATACCAAGCTCTCCCTTGCCTCTTAAATCCTCCACTACTATTTCTTCTTCCTGGGTGCTGTTTCCTGTGAAAAACTTTCTTTTACCACATATTCTTACTACTACCACTTCTACCTAATTTAGATACTTGCATTTTTGTATACAGAAATATCTCATGTGAAGAAAACACATCTTCTTCATATATGGAGTTTTTTTAAATTATTTGTTTTGGATCAAAAATGCATTCACATGGTTCAAAATTTAAAAGGTACAAAAAGGGCTAGGATCAAAATCTTTCTTACCCATGTGCCCCAGTCACCTGGTTTCCCTCCCTAGAGGAAACCAGTGCAATCAGTTACTATCTGTGCTATTAGTAATGTATTTCATATGACATAAAATTCATATACATTATGGCATTGACTTTATCCAAATAGTAGAATGTGTCTTGCACTGTTTTTTTGACTTGCATTTCATGTCACTGTGTCATTTTTTGGAAAAACAGACTTCAGGTGCAAGAAAGAGTAGAACAGAAAGGGAGGGGGGAAAGGGAGGGGAGAGGGAGAGAGAGATAAAGGGAGAGGGAGAGGGAGATCTTCCATCTGCTGGTTCAGTCTCCAAATGCCCAAATATCAAGGTTTGGAATAGGCTGAGGCTAGCAGTAAAGATCTCAGTCCAAGTCTCTCACATGGGTACAGGGCCAAGTACTTGAGTCATCACCTGCTGCCTCCTAGTGTGCATATCAGCAGGAAGCTGGAGTAAGCAGGAGGGAAGGTAGGGTAGGAAGCATCACAATGTTGAGTGCAATTTGGCACACTTTTTCTTGAGGCACAT